GGTCGTACCAACTCCCAAAAAGAGGGGGGTCGTACAAACTCGACTAAAATCCCCAACCAGTGATGTGCCCTGTCCTCTAACTCAATCGATTTCCGGCACTAGAAGTGCCTGGATTCACTTTAAAACCTTTTCGGGTACTACCTCGGTGTGAGGGAGTGGACGAGCATACATTGTGCGTCATAGTTGCCATTTGTTTTTGCCCCGAGCTTCGGAGTGAAGTTTGGGAAAAATTCTAATTTCACTACGTAACAACCCAACATATTGAGAAGTTCATTCATGACAGAAGTTTTCGGAAAGGGACACCAACATCGGAACTTCGCTCACAGACGGACCGCCTTGACAGGCACTTTATAGAATGGCAATGTCAGACCTACCCGCAAAACCGTTTGCTAAACATAGAACAACAACCGCTGCTGTCGTATTTCCACTTGATCCAAGCCAAGGGGTCAGACCCACACAAATTGCAAGACCAAGTGAGCCAACAAAGTTGAAAAGCTTGCAACAAGCTGTGGGTCCTGTAAAGAAATACGGTGAACTTTGATGCTATTGTAGTTCAAAAGGGCCACGCGGCGGCGCCTCCGCAACACTCTGCCTTGGCAGAGCGCAGATGACCAGATTCCGCGCGGCCTAGTCTGACGGAAGCGGGCTAGTCGCGCCGCCACATGGCCCCTAAGCGCCTCCACTTCAAGGGAGGAATACTAACCTCTAGAAGAAACGGAACAAAATGCTCGAAAAGACCAAACGAACCAAGAAGTGGCGGTTTCCTTGCTGTTAGCAACGACGCCAAAATAGATGATAACGTCTTAGAGACAAATAAAACAATCGAAGGTAATGATGAGATCACACCGTTAACGATATTCGAAAGACCAAGTACATCCGAAAAGTACTTTGGGAGAAGCTAAACAAAAAACTTTGAAAATGCATTCGGGACGCCATGATCTCTATAATTTAGTAAAAGCAATGTGCAATCGTAACGAAAAGCTTGTTTTTTATGGACCAGGTGCATAAATGGAATCTCTTGCAGACAATGTGCCTTTTTCAATAAAAAAACAGTCATGGAGATTCAGCAGGTGATTAAATTTCGTCAAAATATGGTTGGTCCATAAATAAGAAAAACGAGTATGCTGAGAGGTAGAAAAGGTTGGCGATCAGGGTAAAGATTCGCTTCGCAAAAAATCGCCTATATGATGAGCTCCTCCAAGAGCAAGTGTCCACACGGCCGCACCCCCTACCGAGCCACATACGACTCCCACGTCGCGGATTCCGCGACACAAGCTTGTCCTGGCCACCAGGACAGGTGATCAGCGCTCAGTAACCTCACCTGCCTCACTGGGAATGGGTTTCTTCCTCGACCTTGTGAACCCGGGTATGCCAGCATTAAAGCTCCGGGAGTGGTGAACGAACGAAATATGCAGACCAGTTTTGAGTGGTCTAACGTTTCCTCAACTTTATGCCCTCGACGAGCAGCTCTGGAGCTCTGGAATGGGTCTCCCACGTGTTTTTTGGATTCGGCATGCATTCTACTTCCATTCAGAGTCGTAGTGGCATTTGAGTGAGATGTGGCCCATACAAAAGTAGCGAAAGCCAACCGCCTAGCAAGTCAGTGTTCTTACTCCTCCAGGCGAATCTGGTACCAAGTTACTATCCCCAAAAGCTCGGTTGTCCTGGGTGTCAGCCGATCCGGGATTTGATCTTTAGAGGTTGCACGTGGTAAGCGTGCCACTCATCACGACCACACCTCAGCCTCCTCCCACAAGGATACTGAAGAAAATATGGACATTCGGCTCACCTGAAGCATAATGACTAGAGGATATTCGTGGCATACAAGTGCAGCGACAGCCACATATAGCGGTAAGCATCGAGCAAGTTTACCCCATGGTGGATTACCACGATCCGTACGCTTTCCAAGCTTCTCCTCGTTGATCTTCCGAGCAATATAGAGGTTTTCAGGCTGAAAAGTTACTCGTAAGAAAGGAACCTGTTCAGGATGGAACAGTCAAATTGGTCTACCTTAGAGACCAAGAAGTGCTTCGATGGCTTATCAGCAGCGAATAATAGCCATATAACAAGTATAACTGCTCCAATAATGGCAGACAAGTAGAAAATCGCTGGCCATCCAAATGTTGCTGGGTGTTCACAAAATAATCCGCCAAGCGGTAATATCATAAGAGTTCCTAAACAATAGCGATTTTTGATGCTTATTCACAGTAGCATGACAGTGAGTGGTGCACCAGACGATCAGAAAATACATATTTTGCGTCTCTAACCTGTCCTCACTGTCCATATTACTGAGTAAATGCATCGGAGAATCTAGTACTTTTCTCTATGAAGAACGGGATTTTAGGCTTATAGTGAGAGTTCCAAGCACATTGCATCCTCCGTTCGGTCCAAGGATCCCCGCAACGTCCTCCACTTTTTTAAATCAATATTTGGTGGGTTTTTATCAGTTTTTTTTCTCGGTTTTCAATGGGCGAATAAAGGGGCCCAAAACTTGTGGATGAAGTATGCCAAATTAGACCGGCGCAAACATATGAAACAGCGCAAACAGAGATGCATGACACACCATGTGTGTCACAAGGTGCGAAACGTCTTAAGCGTGATTCGGTATTTTCTGGGTGAGCAGCAAAGAGAAGATGGAGCAGTGTTGCTGACTTCCAGTGAAAAAGAGATGAAGTCGTTATCTAAGGTCAAAATAAATATCGAAAACCCACCTATTTGCCTTCCGCCAGTAACAAAACCCACAGCGAATGGTCGCTCTTTTGGTGGGAACCATCGGGTGATCATCGACGAAGAAGAGGGGAAAAGAAGCGCATCACCAATACCAGTGATGACCCTGAATATGTCTGCTTTCTAGATTTACTTTTTTTATGACAAGATCCACTGAAGTATCGAAATTTTAGGCCAGCCACTCCGCCATTAAAGGCAGTTGGCACGATAAATCCCCAAGACGACTAGGATCAATACTCCTGGCAGGATAGAATTCCGCGACCCTGGGCAGGCGCTGCATAGCGGTTTCCCCGAGGAAGGTGCCCTTATAAGGGCCCTATCAAGCCACAACTTTACGTCCCAAACGCGCCCGCCCGCCCACAAATGGACGACCGTTCCTGACGCTCGTATTCATTCATTTGCTAAGCAAATTATGAAGCGAAGGGATTGGTATGAAGCGGCCGTGATGCTGCATGCATATATGGGTACACATATGCAGCCGTATCTTCGGTAGCGGTGATTGGCAAGATGCCTACGGGAAACTCGTCCGAAATCGATTTTCAAGTCACTGAGAACGGAGGCTTTTTCTTCGCAGGATTTTGACCGTTTCACTCCGTTCTTTCGCCATTTCCCCACTATACAGCGCCCTACTAGCATTTTAGGCTAAGTAGGAAACCATCGTGCCAACTGCCTTTAACTAATTTCGTGCAAAATTCATAATGCGGTTTTCCGACAACTGGCGATCGTACTGTTAGGCCCTTGGAAAACCCATCCCAAACGCATTGGCTGGCGCTACCATAGGTTGCTTCATGCGGCCAGTTTGCTGCAGCTCCATCAGCGACCACTAGTGCCCTGAGTGTCCGGCAGCCTCAGCGACTAGTAAGTACAGTGCTTCTGCCAGAGTCCAAAAGCGCCTATCAGCGTTCACCAGCGAACGCGAGTAGAGTATGGGGAAATAGGAGGGTAGCAAGAGAGTCGGATT